CCCCCTCGGAGCAGGCGGGGAAACTGAGGCTCCGAGCCCAGGCAGAGCTGCCTGTACGTGCGGCCTCCGCACCGGCGAGCTCCTTGTCCCGGAGGCTCACTCTTTTCTCCGTAAATGGAGCTGCCAGACACTCCCAGGGGATTGCTGAGCGAGGGCAGCTCTGACTCCTAAGTAAGGGGCACGGGGTGGGGGGCACGATTAGGAAGAGCTGCGGGGCTTGGGCTGACCTGAAAGCCGCATGAAACCCGTTCCTGAAGTTGCCCTTCAGCCCCGGGGGTGCCCGGAGGACAGGGGGTCCTGGGAATGCAGGCTGGCCTCCCCCCCCCCACTCACCCTGCCCTGCCCCTCCCCTCTTACTCTCCCTTCCCCTCCCCTCCCCTCCCCTCCCCTCCCTTACCTTGCCCCCAGGTCTCCGCTCGCCTCGGGGCAGAGTGGCAGGAGGGGGCTTGGAGCCCTGCTGGCATCAGTGTGAGAGTCACGTCCATGCGGCTCATGGTTGAGGGTCCCTGGGCCCTAAAGTTTCTAAGGTCCTGGTCACGTTGACAGCTGCCCCCAAGGCCCCTGCGGAGCAGGACGTGGGCAGGCCAGGCGGGAGCAGGTGGTCCTTCCCCGCAGGCTCACGCTGCTTTTCGGAGTGTGGGGGGGGATTCTGAGTGTCTCCTTCATGAAGTTGGGGAGCGCCTGCGTGGGGACCGTGGCCGCGCAGAGGAAGGGCGTGAGGATGAGTCCCTGCCCATTTGCTCTGGGTCTGAAGGCGGGAGGGCTGGCTGCACCCATTCCGGGTCCTCGAGGGCCCTGGTGCTGGTGTGAGGTGGGAGCCGGTGCGGTGCTGGCCTGAAGGGGGTGGAGCCCAGGGCTGGGGGGTGCGGTGAGACGGGCAGGGAGGCACCCGCTGTGTGACCTGCCGGAGGTGTCAGCCTCTGGGCTTTAGCTGGCGCCCTGGAAAGACAGGAAGTTGGTGTAAGTGGATGGGACACAGGTGTGCCCCCTGGAGTGGACTAGAGCGCCCTGCGGGGCGGGGCGGGGCCCTGCAGTTGGGGAGCGCCTGCGTGGGGACCGTGGCCGCGCAGAGGAAGGGCGTGAGGATGAGTCCCTGCCCATTTGCTCTGGGTCTGAAGGCGGGAGGGCTGGCTGCACCCATTCCGGGTCCTCGAGGGCCCTGGTGCTGGTGTGAGGTGGGAGCCGGTGCGGTGCTGGCCTGAAGGGGGTGGAGCCCAGGGCTGGGGGGTGCGGTGAGACGGGCAGGGAGGCACCCGCTGTGTGACCTGCCGGAGGTGTCAGCCTCTGGGCCTTAGCTGGCGCTCTGGAAAGACAGGAAGTTGGTGTAAGTGAAGGGTACATGGGACACAGGTGTGCCCCCTGGAGTGGACTAGCGTGCCCTGCGGGGCGGGGCGGGGCCCTGAGCTGCTCACTCCCGGCTGATGCAGCTTCCTGGTGGGGAGCCCAGGGAGGACGCGGGGTGCATCGGTGAGAACCGTTTCCACTCCCTGGCCCTTACTCCCGTGCAGTTCACGGGTTAGTCCTTAAAGATTTCGTGATTGTGTGAATTTAATAGTTTAACCCAGTTCTGTCCAATAAAACAGCGGCTGGGGGAGGGGTGGCAGGAGGCGGGGTTCACAGAGGTGGGTGCCTTGTGGGGCTTCTGTGGGCTGAGCCCGCACAGGGGTTGGGGAAGCGACCCCAAGCGCCAGCCAGGCCCCTTTCGAAGCACTTCCCATGCATCACCCACCTCCCCTGAGCCGGCCTGCAGGAGGGACTCTTAATCCCTGCTGGCCTTCCCGCCTCCCACACCACCACCTGACAATGGTACCACCTCCCTTTGCAGAGTGTAGCTCTCAGGCCCCCTTTAAATTTTTCTTTTTCTTTTTAATATATTTTTAAAATTGATTTCAGAGAGGAAGGGAGAGAGATAGAAACATCAATGATGAGAGAGAATCATGGATCGGCTGCCTCCTGCACACCCCACACTGGGGTGGATTGAGCCCGAAACCCCGGGCATGTGCCCTTGGCCGGAATCGAACCTGGGACCCTTTAGTCCACAGGCCGATGCTCTATCCACTGAGCCAAACTGGCCAGGGCATTAACTTTTTCTTTAATTTACATTCATAGGGGTTTTTTAAATTACAATTTTCCTTTTAATTCTTTGGATGTGCTCTTTAGGAGAAATTTCTGCCAGGATGGAAATGTATGTCTGTGGTCCCTGTGAGCGGGTACTTAGCTTCCGTGGGCGCTGGGCCTCCCCGGCTGCCTGATGTCCCCTGGGACGGGCTGAGCCCGCACAGGGGTTGGGGAAGCGACCCCAAGCGCCAGCCAGGCCCCTTTCGAAGCACTTCCCATGCATCACCCACCTCCCCTGAGCCGGCCTGCAGGAGGGACTCTTAATCCCTGCTGGCCTTCCCGCCTCCCACACCACCACCTGACAATGGTAACCAACTCCTTTTGCAGAGTATAGCTTTCAGACCACCATTAACATTTTCTTTTTCTTTTTAATGTATTTTTAAAATTGATTTCAGAGAGGAAGGGAGAGAGATAGAAACATCAATGATGAGAGAGAATCATGGATCGGCTGCCTCCTGCACCCCCCACACTGGGGGGGATTGAGCCCGAAACCCCGGGCATGTGCCCTTGGCCGGAATCGAACCTGGGACCCTTTAGTCCACAGGCCGATGCTCTATCCACTGAGCCAAACTGGCCAGGGCATTAACTTTTTCTTTAATTTACATTCATAGGGGTTTTTTAAATTACAATTTTCCTTTTAATTCTTTGGATGTGCTCTTTAGGAGAAATTTCTGCCAGGATGGAAATGTATGTCTGTGGTCCCTGTGAGCGGGTACTTAGCTTCCGTGGGCGCTGGGCCTCCCCGGCTGCCTGATGTCCCCTGGGACCAGGTGCGATGCTTACAGAGGCTGGAGGAAGTCTGAGTGAGGCCGAGTCCGGGCAGACCCCGGTCCCCACAGATCCCGGTCCCCACAGATCCCGGTCCTCCCAGACCCCGGTCCTCCCAGACCCCTGTCCCCGCAGATCCCGGTCTTCCCAGACCCTGGTCCCCGCAGACCCCGGTCCTCCCAGACCCCGGTCCTCCCAGACCCCGGTCTCCGCAGACCCCGGGACTTGGCTCATACCAAGAGGGACTGGGGCTCAGTACCTGCACCCTCAGGTCCCACTTTCAGGGACCCTCCTACAGCTCTGTCACCAGAGGCGGGGGCACTGGGAGCCAGGAGGGGCTGGGAGGACCCTGGCTCTGATTTTGATAATGACGGTTCCACTGACATCCTCAGTTGGGGCCAAGCAGGAGGGGCCGTGGGGATGGTTGGGGCTCTGGTTGTCCAAGGTCAACCAAGGAACATTCGCTCCCTCACCAGGACCCCTGGCTGCACCGAATCCAAGCCGCATCCCACCCACCCGCTCCTATGGAGTCTCACCCGCATCCCACCCGCTCCTATGGAGTCTAACCCGCATCCCACCCGCTCCTATGGAGTCTAACCCGCATCCCACCCGCTCCTATGGAGTCTAACCCGCATCCCATCCGCTCCTTACGGAGGCGCAGTCCAGTCGTCCGGCCCAGGAGTGTCGCAGGGCTGACCAGTACCACTTCCCGCCCTCCCCGCGCTCTGTCCTGGTGAGGAGCAGACCAGGTAGAGCACTGCCTGCGGAAGCTCAGGGCTGTGTCGGGCGAGGGTGTGCGGGGCAGAAATGTGCGCAGCGGGGAAGGCACGCTTCCCTGGGGACTGTTGGGAGGACGATGTGAGACATTTGCGTGGACTGGCCACAGGGCTGCCCAGTGATGGCTGGCCTGTGCGGCGGCAGGTGCAGGAGAGACAGGAAGTGGGTTATCCAGGAGCCTGTCAGCAGCAGTGCAGACACACACCCTCGGGTCTCAGACAGTCCCCCTTCCAGGTGTCCCGAGCCCCGCACGCCCTACGTCCTGTCCCTCTGCTCTCCACTCCCCCCGCCAGGCCGCTTGGAGCAGGGGTGGGCGGGCTGTTCAAACCCCTGGGTCCCCAGGCTGGCCCGCTGCTGGGACATGCACAGGGGTGAGCTGTCAGTCCCGCAGGCGCACACCTGTGGGGGTGCCTGTCCCGTGCAGCACGGCGGGACCCGGGCTCCTTGGCCCTGGCACTGCCCCCCGTGGCCCTCCCCACCCCTTGCTCAGTTTCCCCTTCTCTCTCCTGGGGTTTTGATTTCAGTTCTGAGGTGGCACCGGTCCAGGCGCTGTGGTTCCGCGGTTCTGTTTCCCAGGGACGGAGCCAAGTTGCTGTCTGCCTCCCCGGAGCCTGGGTTCATGAACGACACAAAGAGCCCGGGGCCAGGCTGCAGAGGGGAGGCTGGGCACTGGGGCCACTCGGCCTGGGCTGCCCTCACCTCGGGAGACGGACAGACAGACAGACCCACTTTGTGTGCTGGACACATCTCTGTGGGTCCTCTGTTCTGGGGACTCGGCTGCCACCACCAGGCACTGGCCCAGCCGGAGGAGTGGCCGCAGCCTCCCCGGGCCTGGCTCCTCTCGGACAGGAGGCCGGCTTCTCTCTGGGGGCTCTGGCCCCCGGCCCAGGCCAGAAGGGCAGGGAGAGACTGCAGGTCCGAGGCCGGGCCTGGCTGCTGGGACGGGAGAGGAGGAGCAGCCCAGGCGGGAGGGAGGCCCTGGGGGTGTGGACAGGTGGGGTCAGCAGATGGGCCTGGCAGGGGGCAGAGGGGCAGAGGGGCAGAGGGGCAGAGGGCCCAGGGCAGTGGTTTGGAGAGCACTGTACAGCCCTGCTAGGAGCCGGTCTGCTCCATCCGTCACCCTGTACACCGGCCTGCGCCCAGGGAGGTGGCCTTCCCACCGCAGCTCGCAGCTCGGCGCCCTTGGGACCGGACGCTCGCTGCTGCCAGCGCCCGAAACCCTTCGCAGAAACCCCTTCCCGTCCCCTTTAGTCCCCGCCCCGCTCCCAGGGGTAGACGTGGTCCCGGCTTTATCCTCAAAGCCTCCTCTTCTGGAAATTTCTAGGCACAGAAAAAATAACATTGTCCCCTCCCTCGTCTCGCCTCCGGTGCCCCCTTTCACACCTTCGGCTTTTCCAAGTCAGCTGACTGTGTGACCTTGGGCCGACATTTGTCCTGGCTGGACCCAGCCATGTCTCGGGAGCCTGCCGATTCCAGAAATTCCGGAGGGTTTTGAAGGCCGGACCGTTCCCACATGTCATCTGGAGGCTGCACGACTTCATCGATGCTGGAGAGGATGGATTAATCGCGACTTCATCGATGCTCGATGCTGGAGAGGATGGATTATCGGCTTCTTTGCCGGAGTCACCCGAGCACGGCTGGCCCAGCACTGGGACCGGGAGACGAAGTCGAGTCAGGCCTGTCCCGTATGCGGTGCAGGGGCGGGGGCAGACCCTGAGCACCCGCGGCCACACCACGTGCCTTGTGAGGGGGTCCCGCAGGCACTTGGGGGAGGCCAGGGGGAGGGCCCCGGCCGAGGCCGCTCCACGGAGGAAGGAGGGGAGAGAAGGCAGCTGCCAACGGTGTGCATGGGGGCTGAGGGCAGGGATCAAGGAAGCTCAGAGGGGGCCTTTCGACCTGCGTCCTGAAGGCTGAGAGTTCCCGGCCGAGAAGAGAGAAAGGGACGTCTACACAGAAGAACCGATGGTGGAAGGCTCAGCCCCCGCCCCCCTCCGGATCTTCCCGCCCACGCAGGAGCTGCACGGCATTTTTGCTCTTAGCTTTGTGCTCGGGGTCCTCCTGGGCTTTGCCTTGGCCTAGACCAGTGGTCGGCAAACCGCGGCTCGCGAGCCACATGCGGCTCTTTGGCCCCTTCTGTGTGGCTCTTCCACAAAATACCGACTTCTGCGCATGGGCCACGAAGTTTCAATAGCACTGTAGTGCGCGCCCACACGTGGTATTTTGTGGAAGAGCCACACTGAAGGGGCCAAAGAGCCGCATGTGGCTCGCGAGCCGTGGTTTGCCGACCACGGGCCTAGGGGACCTGGGAGTCTTGGTGTGGCCCTTCCAGGGTGGGAGGGACTGACAAAGGCAGGGTTCAGGGGGCCGGTTATGGGCCACCTGTGGTCAGGGCTGCACTGAGCACTAGCCAGTGAGGCAGTATTTCAGGAGCTGGGATGGGGCCCTGTGCCTTCCCTTCCTTGGCCTCCAGGCCCACCAGCAGCCCTCCACCCTGGAGAGGTGCCCGGTACATTATACTAGAGTGTAAAAGGCTGCCGGCAGAACCCTCCCATCAGGACCACGGACAGGGCCGGAGAGGCCGTGGGAGGTCTGCGTGCCAGGCTTCGCCCCACCACTTCCTGGTTCCAATTTAACGTCTGCATTCCTGCGTGAAGTGAGATGTACTCTCAGCCCTGCTCACTGCACAGCGTCGTCACCAGGTTCGAGGGTCGGCGAGCAGGCGGCCAGGGAAGGCATCCGGGGACTCTGAAGCCAGGGTGGCTGCCTCGTGCCCGCCCTGTGCCCACGGCAGACACGGCTGGTTCATCACCACATTCCCTCCCTGACAGGCCTGGACTCACACGCAGAGCCTTGGCTGCACAGCGCGCCCGGCAGCCTCTACCACCCGACCCAGGCGCCTTGCGGGTTGAATCCTGTTTGGGGCCTGCTGAGCCCGTGCTCGTCCCGTGCCCCTGGGGTCCTGTGTGAACAGCATCCTATTGTTGGATGGACTTCGGTTTGTCAATCCACCCATCTCTTTCCAGGTGATTCTTTAAAAAAAATTTTTTTTTGTATTGATTTCGAGGAAGAGAGAGGGAGAGAGGGAGCTAGAAACATCAATGACGAGAGAGAATAATTGACCAGCCTCTCGCACTCTCACTACGGGGGATCGAGCCCCCAACCCGGACAAGTGCCCGTGCCCCTGGGGTCCTGTGTGAACAGCATCCTATTGTGTGGATGGACCGCGGTTTGTCAATCCATCCATCTCTTTCCAGGTGATTCTTTAAAAAAAAAATTTTTTTTTGTATTGATTTCTTCGAGGAAGAGAGAGGGAGAGAGGGAGCTAGAAACATCAATGACGAGAGAGAATAATTGACCAGCTGCCTCTCGCACCCTCCCCATGGGGGATCGAACCCCCAACCGGACAAGTGCCCTAACCGGGAATCGAACTGTGACCTCCTGCTCAACCACTGAACCTCACCAATCGGCGCCAGGTGATTCTTAATGAGGGACTGAGATTGAGGACCGTTGGCCTAACTCCTGTAGCCTCATCTTCAGCGTGGAGGACAGCATCTACTGTGCCAGGCGGTGTGGGCTTTAAATGGGACGCGCTACGTGAAGTACGCGGGTGGGTCAGAAGCAGAAAGAACGCGGCGCCCGGGCTCTTTGGGGGAGCTCTCCGGGGAGTGGTGAAAAGATCGCCCATCCTTTGAGCGCTGCTGTGTGCCAGGCACCCCTGTGTGGGCTTTTGAGCCATATGATTCCATGGTAGCTGCAGGCGAGGTACTATTACATCTTTTTACATAGAAGGAAGCTGCAGCCCAGAGACGTACAGTAATTTCCCGGAGGTCACACAGCAGCGAGGTGACTGTGCAGCCATGTCCCGCCCAGCTGAGCCTTGCTCCAAAGCCCCTGCCTCCCCAGTCCAGGGGGGGCCCCCCTTCTGTGCTGCCTGCCTGCCGGCATCTGGCTCCTCTAAGCGGAGTCGCCCTCCCACCCCCATCAAATGCCGTGGCCGCGTGGTCATCTAGTGCGCAGGCTGGTCGCAGGACGGCGCTCTGTTCTCCAGAGAGGCGGCGGGAAGGCCCTGTCCCTCCTCGCGGGTACCCGGCGTCGGCCCCTTTAGGAGAAGTTCCCAAAGTCTCAGGCCACCTCTGGCCGCCAGCTCTGCTGGAGAACATTCTGCATTTGTCTGTGGATTTCAGCTGTGCACAGGGCCCCCCTGTCCATGCCGGGCGGATACACAGGCCGTTGTGCGTGCGCACGGTGGCATATTCCCACAGTGAAGGGAGGGGACCGCGGACACAGCTCCACGAACCTCGCCCACAGGGAGCCAGCGAAAGGAGCCACCGCAGGAGGGAGGGTGGAGAGAGGCCAGGGTGGCAACGTTACAGCGAGGAGGGCCCGTTTCCTCACTGTAGAAAACACGTTTGCCTTCAACACGTTTTGAATAGGAAAATAAGAAAATCCCCTGTGGCATTCAGAGCGTTTCCTTTCTCCTAAGAATGCACTTGGACTTGATATAATAAATCCTCTTTAGACGTTAAAAAAAAAAAAAAGGCTTAGGACTCCCTTTCCCGTGGGACCTTCTGGAAAAGCGACGCTGTGGGGACAGAGAACAGGGCTGGGGAGGACGGGGGACCAGGGGACACGAGGGCATTGGGGCGATAAAGGATCCTGAGTGGTGACAGCTACACGACCCTCTACATTTGCAAAACCCATGCAACTGTAGCAAAAAAGAAAAAAATTTATGTAAATTAGAAGGAAAATGGAAACAAAAATTAATTCACTGTCCTCTTAAAACGCCTGTGCAGAGTTCACGGAGAGAGCCCAGGCCCGGGCGAAGGAGCAGAGCTGGCGCTGGGGGCTGTGGGAACCGGATTCTTGGGCATCTGCCCGGCCCGGCCCTGTCTCCCGGCCTGGCTTCCTCTCGCCGCCTTTGTCACTCCCGGGCATTCAGTAGCTGCCACCGCACGGGGTGGGGTGGGGTGGGAGACAAGGAAAGTTTTGTGGGGCCCAGAAATAAAGGAGTAACTGCCCAGCCATCCTGGGTTGCCACGGCAACCGTGTCATCACCCTCGAACCGGGGTGGCTGGCACGCTGGGGGCTTGGATGGTGTTTGTTAAAGGGCCAGACGGAGAGGACAGCCGGGCCCAGCCTGGTAACGGCGTGAGCCCCGCTCCCACGGGAGAAAGGCCTCGGCTCCGGCCCAGCCCGGTCAGCCAGCAAGTGTCCATCGGCACCGTCCGGGGGCTCGGGGCGGAATCTACCCGAGTGAACACTGGGTGTGCGTGTGTTCGTGTCCCTAGGGCTGCGGTAACAGATGACCACACGCACTTAAGTGGCTTAAAACAGCAACTTCAGCCCTGGCCAGTTTGGCTCAGTGGATAGAGCATCGGCCTGCGGATTGGAGTTCCGGGTTTGAGCCCTGTCAAGGGCACAGGCCCGTTTGCAAAACCCATGCAACTGTAGCAAAAAAGAAAAAAATTTATGTAAATTAGAAGGAAAATGGAAACAAAAATTAATTCACTGTCCTCTTAAAACGCCTGTGCAGAGTTCACGGAGAGAGCCCAGGCCCGGGCGAAGGAGCAGAGCTGGCGCTGGGGGCTGTGGGAACCGGATTCTTGGGCATCTGCCCGGCCCGGCCCTGTCTCCCGGCCTGGCTTCCTCTCGCCGCCTTTGTCACTCCCGGGCATTCAGTAGCTGCCACCGCACGGGGTGGGGTGGGGTGGGAGACAAGGAAAGTTTTGTGGGGCCCAGGAATAAAGGAGTAACTGCCCAGCCATCCTGGGTTGCCACGGCAACCGTGTCATCACCCTCGAACCGGGGTGGCTGGCACGCTGGGGGCTTGGATGGTGTTTGTTAAAGGGCCAGACGGAGAGGACAGCCGGGCCCAGCCTGGTAACGGCGTGAGCCCCGCTCCCACGGGAGAAAGGCCTCGGCTCCGGCCCAGCCCGGTCAGCCAGCAAGTGTCCATCGGCACCGTCCGGGGGCTCGGGGCGGAATCTACCCGAGTGAACACTGGGTGTGCCTGCGTTCGTGTCGCTAGGGCTGCGGTAACAGATGACCACACCCACTTAAGTGGCTTAAAACAGCAACTTCAGCCCTGGCCAGTTTGGCTCAGTAGATAGAGCGCCGGCCTGCGGACTGGAGTTCGGTTCGAGTCGTCAAGGGCACAGGCCCGGGTTTCGGGCTCGATTCCCAGTGTGGGGTGTGCAGGAGGCAGCCCATCAATGATTCTCTCTCATCATTGATGTTTCTCTCTCTCTCCCTCTCCCTTCCTCTCTGACGTCAATAAAAATATATTAAAAACAAAACAAGAATAGAACTTCGTTCCCCGGCTCTGGAGGGCAGAGAGCAGGGTGTGGGCAGCTGGGTCCCGGGAGGCGTAAAACAGCAACTTCAGCCCTGGCCAGTTTGGCTCAGTAGATAGAGCGCCGGCCTGCGGACTGGAGTTCCGGGTTCGAGTCTAGTCAAGGGCACATGCCCGGGTTGTGGGCTCGATTCCCAGTGTGGGGTGTGCAGGAGGCAGCCCATCAATGATTCTCTCTCATCATTGATGTTTCTCTCTCTCTCCCTCTCCCTTCCTCTCTGAAGTCAATAAAAATGTATTAAAAACAGAACAAGAACAGAACTTCGTTACCCGGCTCTGGAGGGCAGAGAGCAGGGTGTGGGCAGCCGGGTCCCGGGAGGCGCTAGCGAGTCCGCAGGGCTGTCTCCCAGCTTCTGGCGGGCCGGCCACCTGGGCATTCCTTCCTTGGCTGTGGACAAATCATGCCAATCTCTGCCCCGACGTCACGCGGCCCCTGGCTCTGTGTCTCCCTCTTTTATGAGGATCCAGTCCCACCGGAGCGGGGCCCGCCCCCGCAGTGACCTCTTCTTTGTGAATCACACCTGCAGCAGCTCTGAGCCCACGTGGGGCCACACTCTCGGGCTCTGGGGGTTCAGACTGCGACGTCGGAATTTTAGGGGACACGACCCGCCGTGCGGCACTAGTTTTGTTGTCAGTACATGGCATTTACTGAGCCGGCTGTGGCCACGGACGTCCTCCGGGGTCGCCGTGAGGAAGGTGGGCTGATGGGCTGGTGGCTTTGGTCACCTAGGAGTCTGTGCTTCTGTGGGCTCCCCACTTCCAGGGGTGGGTCCCCCACCTTCTCTGTGACCATAAGCCCAGTGTTTAATCCGCCCCTGCATGGTGCTCGGACTGTGGGAGAAAGAGCACTCTGACTGTCCTTCCTCTGAGCTCCGAGAGCACCCACCACCACCCGCACATGGTAGGTGCTCAGCTAATGCTCCCTGGGCGAGTGTGGAAAATGCTCCACAAACTCAGTTAGCTGGGCTAACGTGACGCCTGCGTACAGAATGGATGCTCCGTGCACTGTACTAGCATGGCCCCCGCATACAGAAGGTGCTCGATAAATGCTCTGTGCACTGTGCTGGCATGGCCCCAGCATACAGAAGGTGCTCGATAAATGCTTTGTATACATAAGGTGCTCGATAAGTGCTCCGTGCACTGCCCTGCATCGAGCCCCGTGTTCTGAGCCCTGCACTCATTTTCATTTTTGTGGGTCTTCACAGTAGTGACGGGTCTTGGGGGAGGTTTTGGTGCTGCGGTTCCCATTGGTAGGCGGTGCGGGAACCTCACCCACGAGGAACAGGTGGGAGGTGGCTTCCTGGGGGAAGGTCCCCTGGGAAGGGCTGAACGGGTGGGGCATGAGCTGTCTCCCTGGAGGGGGTCACGTGGGCATATGTCACCTTCGTCAGGCGTGCCCTCGGGGAGCTGTACTGTATGTCAGTGACAGTAAAGAAAAAAGACAGCACCCCGACCTTCAGCCACGTTCTGTAACTCCCCGGGGATCAGGTGTTGGGTAGTACAAGACATGTGATAGGGAGAGATTGGGGGGCGGGGAGTGGGACCCCCTCTTCCCACCGCAGGGGCCGAGCTCCAGGAAGGTGCCTCTCCTTCCAGGTTCATGAACCACCGGGTGCCCGCCCACCAGAGGTACCAGCCCACGGAGTACGAGCATGCGGCCAACTGTGCCACCCACGCTGTGAGTGGGCCCCCGGGCGGGGCTGAGAGCGGAGGGGCACCTCCAGGTTGGGGTGGGGAGGCACTGCGTCTCCATCCCACGCGATGCCCACGCGATGCCCACGTGATGGCCCACAGCCTGCTCCTCACGCCCCTGTGGCCCCAGGAGGGTGAGCCATGGCGCTGAGCCGGCCTCTCCCGGGAAATGGCCATAACCAAGGCCCGGAGGATGAGGGTTTCCCGTGGACATGGTGGGGACCGCACGTGTGACAAGGCGGAGGCGGCGGCTGGGGACCTTGGGCCAGCCACCTGGGG